AATTCCCTGAGCCTCCTTCAATATGGCTTCGAAGTAAAAGCCGCTTATATGCAGCAGTAAATTGTTGTGCTGTTGGATTATTGTTAAATCCTCCTGATCCTCGGATCGAGCCAAAAAACAACTCAAGGTGGTCTTGACTTAACTTGTATGTTAGAAGATACTTTAAAGGTGCTTCAGGAATTTCAACAAGGTTATAAAATATCTAAATACACAAACACAGATATATATATATATATATATATATATATATATATATATATTTATATATATATATATATATATATATATATATATATATATATATATATATATATATATATATATATATTCATATATATAAATATATAAGTCATTTTTATTATTTATAATTTTACAATATTTTAAAAACCTGTTTAACACTTTTAATTGCCATTAAAAATCCAACGAATCCAGTTTTTCTTCTGGTTGTATGCAATAGTTTTTTATACAAGTCTTTTAAATTTGAAATGTATTCATATGCTTCGTCAAGAAATTTATCCCACAAATGCTTATTACTCATTTTTAATGGTGATTTATAACCTTTGGCAAATGGGTTTCGTGAGTTCAAAATGTCAAATAATCTATCAAATATTCTAATAAAATTGACAGTTGCTTCACTTCCTTGTATCAATTTAAGATCTTTGCAGCAAAACTCTATTGCATTTGCTACACTTGAACTAATTGCTTGAGCAGCAAGATTCACTTTCATTTTCTGTTGCCTCCAATTGACATGTGCCAGTCTTAATTTATTTCCGAGTCGTAATCCTTCATTTTCTTGGAGTTTTTGAAGATACACTATATATTTCCATGATATTATATTGTTTGCATTATCAACCAAAAAATCACTCTCTGCCAAGCAATTTCTAATAAGTTTTAGCATATGGCAAATATCGAGCAGAGTATAAATTTTTTTATTTGAGCGAAGAGGATGAGTGAAAGATGAATTCATTTCTAAAGCATTAATTGAAACACCAAGGTTTGATAACATAGAAATGTGACACGAGGGTCCATTACATGTTAGGGATATAACTTCAACACCAACATCTGTCAATCGTTTTATACATATATTTACAATGTTTGCTCGTTCAGCGCCGTTTAAACCATCTATGAAAAAATATTCGCATGGAACTTTCCATGAACTGTTTATACTAACCACCATGAGAACTAGAGCGTCTTTTACAACAGGAGATGAATCATCTTGTATACCATTTCCAAGATCAACATACCCCTTAAATATTTTCCCATCCCATGATATGTGTTTTTTAATAGCCATTTCATCTAGCATAAGCGAGCAAATGACTTTAGACCCTAACTTTTCAGCTTCGATAACCTTATTTTTAAGTGCTGCTAATGCTGGTTTTGTAAAACCTGGTTCTGCTGAGACTTTGCCATACCATTTTCTAATTTGTGATTGATGTGGTAAATTAAAGTTAAATGTTTTTCGCACATATTTGTAAGCTTTACTTGAATAAAACTGTAGGGTAAGTGCAAACGATTTAATTTCTTCTGAATATTGACATCCCTTATTGTTATTTTTCCTTTTATCTTTCTTCTGGCTACAGCAAGGGGGACTGTTTTTGATAGCATTTCTTCACAATTTGATGATATTTTGTGTTTTTGATGTAGTATTTTTATGACTGATTTAAGAGACGTTATATACTTTTTCATTCTTCTAGATTTTTGCTGCTCTGCTTTTACCTTTTTTTTTAAAGACTGAATGATCTTGATTCTTCGATCTGTTAACAGTTTTTCTGGTGTTAAAATGGAATTACATGTTTTTATAGGAGAGCTAAATTTCATGCAGATAGGTAAAATACTAGTTTCAGAATCACTTATCTCAGAATTAAAAATACATCTTTCAGTAGGACTTTTTCTCTTTTTCGTTGTCTAAAAAATACATAAGATATGTATACATATAAATATATATATATATATATATATATATATATATATATATATATATATATATATATATATATTTGTTTTATTTTTTATATCGTACTACTAGAAGGAACCTCTAAGTTGTGTTTACTCACAGAGCTTAGCTAATAGTTCATGCAGCATTTATAAAATGATAGCATGTACTCACCAAAGTAAGTTATGACAAGTACAGTGTTTTAGCTGCTTACCTTACAGTTGTGTTATAAACCCTCTAGCACACTGCTTAGGGTAATTAAGAACTAAAAGGTACATATAGAACATAGGTACATATAGAAATAGCCTCTAGAATATAAATAAAACCATGGTTGATCATATACCTTTCTTAAGTGGTCTGGAAAATTTTAAAATCTTTTTGGCAAAGAATTTTGCCTCAACCTAACTGTTTGTTCAGTTCTGTCAATATCCTTTTCCAAAAAATGATCAGAGCATATCAGACTGCTAACTCCTGGACTCCATTCTTGACGATGTATTCTGTTGATCCATTCTTTTCTTTTTTCAGTGTTAGAAGGAAATCTGTATAGAATTAAGTAGTAAAAGCGTGTAATATTTAATTAAGTTTTTTGTATAATTCTCCCTTGGTTGTAAAACTATATATTATATAATGTAAAAAAACTAATGTAATTTACATTAGTTTGCTTACATTATGTAAACAAACTAAGTAAACAAATTGAAAAATCAAGAAAGTTACTGATGAAATGTTCTAGGAAATTTTCGTTTTAGTGATGATTCTTCATCAGAAGGTCCAACACTATCATTTCTTGTACCACCACCATACTTTCTCTTATTGCAACCAAATGCACAACATTGTGACCCTCGCTTTACAGAATTTTCCCCAGACATTTAAAGAATATCTTTAATAATGTTTTTAATTTACAAATAATATATAAATTAATATATATTATATTATAAATTATATTATAGATATAATTATAAATATAATATTGTATATATATATATATAGTTATATATACAATATAGTATATTACATTGTAATATTTTTATACTGTAATAGTTAATAATACTAGATATAAAAATTTTTCGTATATTTAATTAAATTTGAATTTATATTATATAAAAAAAAGTAAAATATAATATTTCTTACAAACAAATTTTATCTGTGGGACCTCCCAATATGGCGTTGGCGAAAATAAATTGGCTTCAAAAAATACGCTACTTTCTTAGAAGATACGCTATCCAGTTATTATAGAGATCAGTGCCCTCCACTTCCAATAAAATATTTAAATCTGTGTCCTGGGTGAGGTTTTTGTAAAGGAAAAGCAAGAACACACTATATATCTCCTATTGGCACTATTGCTTATCATGTAGTGTTAGGGCTGTGTTAAAATTAAAAAAAATTGAAAATGTTATAAACCTAATATATATGTGTGTGCATATATATATATATAAATATATATATATATATATATATATATATATATATATATATATATATATATATATATATATATATATATATATATATATATACTATATCTATCTATAAATATACTATAGTAGATATATATATATATATATATATATATATATAAATATTTATATATATATATATATATATATATATATATATATATATATATATATATATATATATATATATATATATATATGTATATATATATATATATATATATATATATATATATATATATATATATATATATATGCATATTTATATATTTGTTTATATATTAACACACATACATACACACACACACACACTTACTCATATATCTTTTTTTTTTAAAAGCTTGAAACTTACATAGTGCTTGTGCTTAGATGCGAAGCATATAATTTAATGTAACTTTCTTGTTTTTATTTCTTCTTGTTTTTATTTCTTCACCGCATCAAGAAGTTTAAAAACTAGTTGCACATAAAAAATATGAACAAACTTCTTCATAAGGGAAATAATATAATGTAAATATTAGAAACAATACTAGATTGTTGAGCTAAACTATCTGTGCAGAGTGTACTAAAAGTCACTATCTGATTTGCTTTTTTTAAAACTTTTTGTTGGTTTTACTAATATTTAAAATGTAAATGAAAATTTATTTCATATAATTTTTTTACATAAAGTTTTTAAAGTCGTCTAATAAAATCATTTTTCATTTTCAGTTCATTTTTCAGTATATGCTGTTGACTCAGTAAAGCAAAATTACATAAAAATTTCAAAAATTATAATTATATAAATAAACAGTTTCAAACGAAGTTTTAGAATTTTATTATTCAGAATTAGTATCATTTGAGAGTATTTCAGACATTTTCAATGATCATATAACATCCATTTTTGAGTTAACTGTATCTTGTACAAAAATAAATGTAGGAATGACCACACAATTTGATGCAGTAATGGTCTTAAAAGCTGTTGCGCTCTTATTAATGTTTCTTTTTGCTCATTTTGAGATCTTTACTTTCCAAACAGTTTCTGAGTTCACAGAAGAGAACACAGTTCTCTTTCTGTTTGTAAGTTATCAAATATTGTCTCAGTTTTTTCAAATCAAGCACCCAGTTCCTAAATAATTGGTGGTAAAGGTGGGTTTTGTCTTGCAAACTGATGTTAAAGTTTATGTTTTGTTGCAATAAATTTAGTGCATAGTTGATTAACTATTCGTTATAACAATTTTTGAGTTGATCTTCCATTATCTGTAAATAAAATGTGATATAGTTATTTTAGAAATGAATTCAAGCAAAACAAATCAAGTAGTTACTTTTGGGACACAAAGTATTTAGATTTCTTTTAATTTATTAGTATAACTTTAATTCATAGTATGTCATCTGGAATTTGTTTAAAGCTTTGAAGAAACTTGAAAACACTCAAAAACAAACTATAAGTAAAAATAAACAGAGGGTATTTAAGACATATTTTAAGCATAAGGCTTAGATTGGGAAATTCATATTGAGATAATGATAATTCATTTAGGCATGTTAAACCTAATTTACCCATATGTTTATAAAAAACAAATGAATGTTTATCATAGTTTTAAATTTTTTTTTCCTAATACAAATATTTTTAACTTCATCAGGTATGCACAACTAGTAAAATCATCCAGCTGTCAAGAAGCCACAGTTACTTATGAAATTACGGTAAGAATTATTAAAATATTTTTGGAAAACAAGAAGCCGCAGTTACTTATGAAGTTATGTTGAGAGTAAAAAATAGCTTTAGTTGTAGGTTTTGCCTTGCTAAAAGTTAAACATATGACTCCAATACTCAAATGTTTTTTTCCTGAAATAGCCTAACACTTAGCTCTTCTTTGTCAGGATATTTAGGCAGATCTAATTAATCTTATATAATTAATATAATTGGTTTATGATGTATCTGGTTTTTTTGTTGCACTTAAACTAAAATATTTATAATGAGTTTGTTTTGATTTAATGGCTCCAGACATTTTTCAATTTACATCAGATATAAAAAAATTTATGTCAACTAAATTCATTAATTAACAAAATATAAAAGTTTAAACTTGTAGGAAATCTAAAGTTTGAAATTTATATCAAGGTAAACCGCCGTAGTTTTGAAAAAACAAGTTAACCAATGGGTACCAAAATAAGGTCCACACCAAGTTTAGTGCCTTATAAAAAGTCTTTAATGTAATAAAGCTTATGTTTGTTCAATAATTTAGTTTAATGGGCTGTAGAGCTTATAGAATGTAGTTACATTAGATACATTAATACTTCTTTTAGTTTCTTGAAATTTTTAAATCGAAAAAAAGTAAAATATCTGACCAATGATAAATGATGCCACTTCCAGATTGATATATATTAGGGGTATGATAAAAGATGTCGCTTTCAGATTGATATATATTAGAGGTAGTCATTTTGAGGGAATTTTTGAAAATGATGTATATACCCAGCTAAAGTTAGAGTAAATGTGCTAAAACTTTGTCAAAAAATTTCTAAGATGAATCAGATGACTTTTAAGTCCCCCTCAAGGCAAAGCTAAAGTTGTTAAAAATTGTACTTCAAAAAAGGAAAATAGGGTGTTTAAATTGCCCTCAAACGCCCTGAGTGTTTGAAAGCAATTTTAATGAAAATGTTATTCTATTTTTTATATTTTCATTTTAAAAGGGTATCTCATGTTTTTTACATATTCTCGGTTAAAACGATATTTAAGAAAGGAAAAATAATGAAAAATTTATGTCACGCAAAAGGTTATGAAATCAGCAAGTTATGTATTTTTATACTTAAAGTTTATTTAGATAAGACAGCTGGAAAAATTGAACCTGTTTTACAAGTTTTTATTAAATTCTAGGTTTTAATGTAGCTGTTTTTTTTCTTTGTAATATTACTTTTTCCCACACAAAGAACTCTTAAAGTTGACCTTAGTTTGTTGACAGCTAAACGTCTGTTTTGTTTGTCGTCTTCATTTTTGTATCTTTGCACAAACTGTTGCGTTATTCCAATTGCTTGTTCAGAATAATCATTGACAACAATTTAAAATTCTTAAACAAGGGTGTGTGCCAAAACAGCAAGGGTGTTTAAGCCAAAACAGCTTTTTCAGAAATAAACTTCCTTTGATTAGCCTTGTCTCTAATTAGTTCTCTGTAGTAATTTTTACACAAAATCTGAATACTTTTTGTCCATCTTCATTATGTTCATAATAAAAATTTTATCTGACATTATTTGAAATCCTACTTTAACCCATGGTCTTGGCATGGTCTTGACATGGTCTTTTGGCCAAAAAGATTAAGCCTAAAATGCATTCACAATCTTCCGCTTTACATCTCTTGTAACTTTGAATCTTGTTATGAGGGCATACGAAAATTGCTGACTTTTTAGAATTAAAAAGTAGTGATCTTCGTAGGTAAATCTCTATGAAATTATGGTTCTTTTGAGACCCAGGTTGATATACTTTTGAAGAAAAAAAAATTTACTGATATATGGGAGCCAGTGTGTAATCAAGGGTAATGGTGGGTGACCTTTTTCAAGAATTAAATAAAACCAATGACTTTTTAATTACTTTCAAGCCAAAGTTCATCTATTTTTTATTTTGGAAACTGGAGGTACCAAAAAGTCATATCCCTAATATATAGATATATATAGATATATAGATATATAGATATATAGATATATAGATATATAGATATATAGATATATAGATATATAGATATATAGATATATATATATATATATATATATATATATATATATATATATATATATATATATATATATATATATATATATATATATATATTAAATAATAGATATTAAACGATAATATCATAAATTTATTTCAGGAAGATGGAATTCGTGATTCTCAATAATTTCTGAAGAAATCAGGTTTGCAACGTAAGAAAATAAGTTTCTTCGAAAAAGAAAAAGGACAATGTTATTATTTCAGTGCAAGATTTCTGCTTCAAAATACATTTCGTTTGAAAGATGATTTATAATAGGGTTATATATTACAAATTTTTAAATTTAAAAGAAAATAAAAAAAAGTTTAATAAAACTTGAATAATGTACTCGTTACTTTATATAAATAATTTTTACAAAGATTAAATACAGTATAGGCCATTAATAACAATCCAGCATGCTTTTTTTTAATATCCAAATAAATATAGATCTTCATAAAAATATTAACTGATGCGCTCATTATCTTTTCTTTTTTTTTTTGACATATCTCATAATTTAAAAGAATTGCAATGGTCAAAATAACCAATCCACCTTATTTCAAACTTCCTTCAAAGTTTCATTTGTCTTTAAGTAAAACTTTGAACTTATTTACGAATTATTAATAAGTATTTGCAAGTTTTATTTAAATTGTTATAAATATTTGAATATTTTGTCTAAAATGAAATAGAAAAATTAGTATCTAATTATCTAAATTATTTCAGCAATAAATTAATCAAAATGACTGGAAAACTATCAATAATATGACAAAATGTAAAATCATAGCATTGAATGAACTAAACATCTCAATGAGAGAAATTGCAAAACATTACAACTGTTAGCAGAAAAATCAACCGATATCAAAAATACAATACAATTGAAAATCCTCCGCGTCCTGGAAGACCCAGTATTTCAAATGAGTGTTCCTTTATTCGCAGAGTGAAAAAAAATAGAAATTTATCTACCGATCTAACTCGAAAATGGCGAGAATTTTCTGGTGTTACTAATAGTGCTCTATTAATTTGAAGAGTACTACAAAAACACAATTACATGAGGCGAGCTGCTTGCAAAAAACCACGTCTATCAAAAAAACATCAGAAAGCAAGAAAAAACTGGTGTTTCATAAAAATTGGTCTATGAGCATGTGGCACAACATTCATTTAGTTTTTTTAGTTTTGAACTATAGCTGGCAAATTGCAAATATCAAGGACCTTTTTTTTTGTCGTTGGTGTTTCTAGTTAGCAAAAAAATACATACAACAACTATAGCCACCACCCCCTCCCTCCATAGAAGACCTCTTCGGGACGGCCCTGCATGGAGACTTAGCGATGTCTGCTAAATAGAGTCATCGCTATGTCTCGATGCATTAGGAACCTCTCCTTTTTTAGGGATTTTAGGGATGTCCCACTCCTCCCTACTCTCCCGTATATATGTAAATATTTTAATAAAGCTTTCGTTTAATTCTGGGATATTTCCGGATGTACTTAAATTAGCAAAAGTAACTCCATTGTACAAATGTAATGATCATTCTGACATTGCAAACTACAGGCCTATATCAGTACTTTCTGTATTTTCAAAACTATTCGAACGTGTAGTTTATAATAGAATCTATGTTTACTTCATTAAAAACAATTTTTATTACCCAAATCAGTTTGGCTTTCAAAGAAATCTTTCTACTGAACATGCAATCATTGAAATAGTAAATCAAATAACTAAAGGTTTTGAAAATAATAAATTTACTTTAGGAGTATTTCTTGATTTATCAAAAGCATTTGATACAGTGGATCACTGTATTCTCTTAGATAAATTAAGACAATAATAATAAATAAAGACAATAATAATAAATAAATAATAATAAAATTTTAATCAAACTTTATAATTTATATTTTTAATTATAATTTATATTTTTATCAAACTCAATAAGAAAATTTTAATCAAACTTTATTATTCATTTATACACAGTTATTTAAATTGTGCTAATATCGCCTGGGGTAGTACAGAAAAAAGTAAGTTGCAACGTCTTTATCGCCGTCAGAAACATGCTATCCGTTTAATCTGCTTTGCAGATCGCTTTTCTAACGCAAAACATTATTTTATTGAAATGAGAATTTTAAATATATACGAGCTAAATATATATAATGTTTTATGCTTTGTATACATGTAGAAAAATGACTTGTCTCAATCTGTCTTTAAAGATATTTTCACTCCGAAACCCTTCAACAATTACAATTTGAAAACCATCAACAAATACAATTTGAGAAATACTGATTTTTCAACAAATACAATTTGAAAAAAAAAAATCAACAAATACAATTTAAGAAATACTGATTTTTTGAATGAATCTTTCTGTCAAACGAATTTTAATCAATTTTGTATTGCCTTTCGGGCACCACACCTTTGGAATAAAATTGTTTTCCCCAATTTTGACTTCGAACTACCCATTACTTTTCGTTTTTTTAAAAGTAAATTAAAAACCCTAATTTTTTCATAAGATGACGTATTATGATATTATTAATAATATGAATTAATAACTTTGCCTTTTCTTATTTACATTTGTAAAAAGTTTATTCTTACTTATTTTGTTGATTTTATATTCTTTATTTAACGTATACGTTTATATAAAATATTGGTAAGTAGATCCGCATGGTCTCTCTTTGGATTATATAATATATATTTGGATTATATAAATAGGATTATATAAATAGGATTATATAAAATATAATAAAATTTGTAAAAATTTGATACTGTTAATACTTGTTTGAACTTATTTAAGGTTCTGACGACAAGATCCTTTGATCTTTTAGATACCTTATTTTATATATGTGAAAGTTATTATTATTATCATTATATTATTATCATTTTTTTTTTTTTGACAATATATAGTTGTAATACGACTAACAAATGTAAAATTAAAAAAAACAAAAAAAAAACGTTACAGAATAATTAATAAAACTTATTATTGGATTAAAAGCTTACAAACAGAAAACAATATGTAAATAATGCCCAATCTGGAGTGTTACATGTCATATGTGGAGTTCCGCAAGGATCGATTCTTGGTCCACTTCTTTTTTTAAAATATATAAATGACTTCTGTAATCCATCTTTACAACTTAATTCACTCTCACTTAATGCCGAGAAAACAAACTATATACTTTTTCATAAAAAAACACAAGAAGAAAATCTTCCTCTCAAGTTGCCGAACCTATTTATAAATGACAAATTAATTAAAAAGCAATCCAATATAATTTACTTGCCTAGGTCCTCTCGTGTGAAAGTGAATAACATTAAAAAAAAAAAAAAAGATTTAAGCTGACTTAAGACGTATTTGTTTTTTTATAATTAGAAAACAAATTTGTACTTGCTTATACGATGTTATAGTGACATCACTATAACATCGTGTTATAGTGATGTCACTATAACATATAAGCTGTATATCAATTTAGCTGTTCATCATAAAAAAATCTCTAAGCAACTAGTTTTATGGATGATTAAGAAATTTGTGGGTAGCAAGTCCGACTTTTAAAAATTTAGAAAATTATTCAACTTAACTGAAGGTTGCTGGTTTGACCCATTTGCTAAGGTTGTAGAACTCCCAATATATTCAAAACAAGCCAAAACTCATAAATTTTTCTAATTTTGTTTCAGAAGTTTTAATAGATTTGAGAACTAAAATAATATAAGATTTTATCCGTGTTTATGCTTCATGTTTATTGTTTATTATTTATTGTGTATTTTTTATTGTTTATTGTTATGCTCCATGCTTAATAACATGACCAACTATATAGTTGGTCCCTATATAGTTGGTTCTGGTCAACTATATAGTTTATCTCTTATTAAATAATAAAAGAGTGCGGGAACTCGTAGAATACAGTCTTGTCGTCGAGTACCGCTAAGAAATGCTAGCATTTCTTAGCGGTACTCGACGACAAGACTGTATTCTACGAGTTACGAGTATTCGACGAATTACGTCATGCATTTTTTGACAGATTTTGACCTCCCCCTCTCCCCCTCTTCACAAAATCGTAACACTTAAGAAGCAAGTTTTGTATGAGTCGTCACAAATTTACCAACCCCCTCCCCCTTATAGCGTGACGTAATTTATGGACGACCCCTAACGATCATTATATATATATATATATATATTTTTTTTATATATTTATATATCATTATATATATATATATATATATATATATATATATATATATATATATATATATATATATATATATATATATATATATATATATATATATATATATATATATATGTATATATATATATATATATATATATATATATATATATATATATATATATATATATATATATGTATATATATATATATATATTTATATTTTTTCATATATATTATTGTAACGAAATACTTATTGAAAATATAATAAAAAGAACAAAAAGTAAATAAATAAATAAAATATCAATTGAATTCTTAAAAACCAAGGGTGTGGAGTCGTAAAAAAAAAGTAACTACTCCGACTCCGACACCAGTTGTTGAAATTTTTTGAGTACAACTTCGACTCCGACTCTAACTCCGACTCCGACTCCAACTCCAAAGCAAAATTTTTGAAAAATTCTTTGAATTCTTTAAAAAATATTGCCCGGTAAGTTAAAATTTTTTTTTTTTGACAACTTTTTCGAAACATTCTTTGATGTTTAGTATGAACATAAGGTTAATTGAATGTTTTGTACATGCACGTGCAATACCAAGAAATTTTACTATCGGAGTCGCGATATTTTTTAGCGACTCCGACTCCGGTAAAATTGTCGCAACTCCGCAACGCCGACTCCGACTCCGACTCCACAGACCTGTTAAAAACAATGGTTTTCAACTCTTTACAAATCTATGTTTAAAATGTTGTGCGTTTAAAAGTTAAACATTTTAAAAGTTCTTTTAGTTTTTCAAAGAGGTTTGTTGTTTAAATTTAAATTACTTTTTTAATATATGATTATAATTTAATAATAAATTTGCGGTCACGGTATTATAAATTTTATAAAACTGCAGTAGTGAAAGAGTTATCGGCATTAATAAATTATTTTTAAAATGCGTTATTATAAACGAAAGACACCAGCAAAAGGTATGACATCAAGCAATACAATGCTTGCTGCCGTCAAAAGAGTATTTGAAAATGGAGAGAAATGGCGAGGGGTTGCAGCAGATTATGGCATTCCTCATGTGACACTCAGAAGATACTGCATCAAAGTCAAAGCGATGCCAAGCACCCCGACCAATTTAACTGCGGGGTGCCACAACAACAGAAATGTTTTTACTATGGAAGAAGAGAATGCGCTTACGAGGTACATATTAGAGGCTTCACGCGTATACTATT